CCATATTTCGAAACCATGTTGTATCTTTATATTTGTTTAAAAAACTGCAATGTAGCACAGTAATCAACACATGGCATAACTCATTCATTTATTCCAGCTTTTTGTTGAGACGCGTTTCTACACACGTTTCGGGCTCCGTTTTTGCCCCTCCTCAGTCAACTAAAACATATAAAAACTAATTATATACATATTATAACCCGACATATGAATTAAAAAACAACAAAAATAAAAGTATATTTCGTTGGTATATACAAGTAAGACATAACATACCATTTTTTAAATAAATTCCTTCTCTGAATGTATTTTTTTCCCGAACGGGAATCATACTCTAGTCTATATACTTGATTATTTCAGATACCAGGTTGAAGATTTAATCTCACTTCTTCACGCTTCAGACACAGACTGTCTTATTTAAACTTTACTATACTTTGAAGACTATAAAAACAACACAATTAGTGTTGTTTTTATAGTCTTCAACAAAAAGCTGGAATTAGTCAACAAAAAGCTGGAATAAATGAATGAGTTATGCCATGTGTTGATTACTGTGCTACATTGAAGTTTTTTAAACATTAATTTTTTATATTTTATATATATTTAAATATTATAAAATGGAAAAAACTTAAGGGATGAGGGATAAAAACTTACGAGTAACGTCGTCATTAACTCGTTAGCTTATATCTAAATCCATTCTCGATATTAAAGACAGACAGCCCAACGATAATAGTTTATAGTTCTATGAATTTTCAAGCTTTAGTACAATTTGATTCATAATGTACTATAATTGCAAGAACTTCTTGTAAAATCGACTGAAAATCAACATGATTTTTCGTGTAAATCAAATTTAGCAATTGGTGTTTCACCAGATCTATAAATAACAAATATTGTAAGAAAACGCAATAGAATGTATTGCAATAAACTGGTTTTGCAGATGTTGCGGCGCGATTGCTGCATACATAAAAAAAGAAAAACGTGAAAAATTAGAAAAATGATGGAGGATGGAGCTACACACAACAGAGAAGTTAACTAATGCCTACGTCACTCGATCACGTACTGTTCTATGAGCTAGCCTCTCATACATTGAATGAGTAACTAAAATGACGAAATTACAAAAATTTTCCATTTTCATTTTCTTAATTTATGATTCGCTGCGCTAAGTAGCGTTGGGTATCTGAAGCTGACTCGTAACCCCTCAACTCGAAACAAAGAATTAGCTAGAGACGGCGAAAAAGTCGTAACTCATCGAACTGGCTCCACAGTCAGAGAGCGAAATACATAAAATGAAAAAAAAAAACCGTACAGAAAACTTATAGGAAGACTCCTTTATCTGGCGAACTCGACACGCCCAAATCTAGCATTTGCTGCTAGCATGGTTAGCCGTTTCTAATCTAATCCAGGTATCGTTCATTGAAAAATGGCCAAGACAGTACTCTGATACATTCAAGCAACTGTAAATTACGGTCTACACTACGAGGAGTGCTATCAGAAGCTGTGCGCTTATGTAGACTCAGATTGGGCCAGAGATATTAACGACCGGAAGTCTTCATCAGGCAACATGATAATTATAGCGAACAGACCCATCAGCTAGGAATCAAAAAAACAAAAATCTGTTGCGCTTTCGACGATGGAAGCGAAGTACTGTATATGGCCCTATCCGACGTGATCAAGGAAGTAATCCACATGAGAAGGATGCTACGAGAAATGCAATTTGAAAGTTATGTGAATACGCCGACGATAGTTTACTGTGACAGTCAGATCGCTATTCACCTGAGCAAAAACACCGTTCATCATGGGAAAAGTAAACACATTGACATCAGGTATCACTTCTCCCGTGAAGCTCAAGAAAAGGGCGAAATCAGAACAGAATACATCTTTACCACAGAAATGAAGACGGATGTGCTAACGAAAACCCTTCCGAAAAGCAAACATGAAGCAAACGTCAAGCTGCTTGGAATAAACAAAGCCTAGATTAAACCACCTGTAACTATTTACAATAGTGAAGACAGATAACACGATGCATGTGTATGTGTATATGCATGTGTATGTATATATATATATATATATCACAATGGATACGAGAGTGCTTGTAAAGAAAATTATCAAATGATTAGTTTCAGTGTATACGCAGACTCCGGGCACACCAATAGAGAAAGTGTTAAATAGAAAGTTGTGCATGTGACCTTTGCCCTTGAAATCGTCGCGCCCTCTCCTCTGCTATGCGAGAGGTGAGTTGAGTTATGTAAACTCTGCCAAGGGAAGTGGTACTCTGGTCCTGACTGTAATTTTGAACATGTGTTGTACTCTAACGTACATTCCTTTTTAGTTCTCTCATTCTTTATCTTACCTCGACAACACCGTTCATCATATCCATATTATGACAAGAACCATGCTATTGGTCTAGATTAGTGATGTGCCGGATCGTTAAAAATGTATATCCGCGGATACGGATACGGGATACGGATCTCAACTTTCGTATTCAGTCGGCGCCGGTGCGTGTGACCTTGGACCGATAGTTGACGCTTTTGCGTTAATAACGCGACGTGTTTTTGACTTGCACTGCGCGTGTTTTTGTTTATAGTGTGAAAGTGTGCTAAATTAGAATTCACCACAGAGGCAGACAGGATAAAGTAACAAAAGTTGATATAATTTTCCAATTAAGCTATTTCGCGTCTTTATACAGATTCTATTTCGAGGGATTCCAACTTCACGGTATAAACAGTAGCATGCAAAATTACAGCGATAATAATAGTTCGCTGTATCCAAAGCACGTGTACAATACAGATCCCGATCGCGACAATATAACCCGGAACCTTAAAACTAACCTTAAACACTAACTTAACACTAATAACAGAAAAAGGGATAGAATTAAGAAGACAGAAAAAATGGTAGATAAGATAGAAATAGGGATATCTGGGGTTTTGTCCCTTTTTTCGGCTTGTTTCTTTATGCGTACTATTGGGTGGGATAACACACGTCCTTCTCCTATAACTGGCCACTTCTCTTCTACAATAATTAGGATTTTTTCCTTCCACAGTCGTCAATACGACCTTAAAACATGATCTTTTTTCTGAACTTATTTCTGAACTATCCGGTCATTGAAAATACGACTCCCAGTATTCTCACCTCGTCCGTACACTCTGCCGTCCGGTTTACGAATGACCTGCTACGTCACTTCTCTTTTTTCTCCGGCTCCTGTTTACACCTTTGCTCCTCAAATTTCTAGGAACTGCTCATCCCACCCAAGGGACAGGGAATAGATAAGAAAGTTCTAGAAGAAAATAGAACAATAGAACAAAGGGTAGAAAGAAGAAACGAAACTAAACTAAAATTAATATTTACAAAAATATAGCGTACCGCCACAATGGTTTAGCGCAGTGTTTCCCAACCTTTTTTGTGCTATGCCCACCTAAGTCTTTCTAAAATTCTTGTCTCCCTAACATATACAGCGGCTATACGATTAACTTAAACTCTGGACAAGTCCATTTTCGAATTGCCCTCCTTAGCAATCCAATTGCGTCCTGTGGGGCGTGGGTCCCACGTTGGGAAACACTGGTTTGTGGCTAGTGTGACAAGAGATAGCATAGATTACGTTTGTGTTTTTGGAGAGTGTTGAGTTAAATTAAAATAAAAACAATGTCGACAAAAAAGTTTAGTGTAATATGGAAATATTTTACGATAGTAAATGACGAATGTGCTATTGCTACCAATCTTTAAAATTTCATATAAGTAATGAAATTCATTAAGATAAAAGATCCGTTAAAGATCCGCTAAAAAGTAACGGATACGGATACGGACACGGATCTTTTTTTTCTCTCGGATATTCGCGGATACGGATACGGATATCCGGCACATCACTTGTCTAGATTCGACCAATGCTGTCGCGACACGAATCGGCGATGACGTTTTACCGTATTATACAAGACTTTTTTAGCGTGTTTATAGGAATACGATCGCAATTTTTTTCGCCTTGTTATACGAATCAGTATTATATGAACCCGTTTTATACGACTTCATCTAATACGGATTATCCTGCAATTTTTGTCCAATTTAGGTGAAATTTTTGTTATATTCGTTTTAAGTTTTGACAGAAAGCTACTTATTTTGCTGAAATATTAACTACAAAATAAACGTTTTATCTATTTCGGATCTGTGATGGCAATGCGCTCAGTGACGTCAGTGACCACGTGACGTTCATGCTCAACGAGGGAATTTCCCTCAAGTTGCATATTTAAATATTTTGGCAAATGGCCTATTTTAAACTTAACTAAATTCACTTAAATGTTAAACTTCAAAAAAAATATAGCCGAATCGTGTCACTTGTATGCGAAATGTTTTAAGAATTTTTTTCCAAATGACCACGTGACGTTTCATTATCCAATCGGTAGTAACGATCTAATGAGCCCGTTATTTAGAAAGTGTTATCCCTAGATGAAATCTTACATACAGTACGGTACATACAATTAGGGTGGCCGGAAACCCAGCTTTTCACTGGACTGAATACTCTGTTCTCCCTCCTGCATCACTTTGCGCCAAACATCGATTTGTCCTCTTTTTAGGAGTGTGATGAAAAATGTGCATAATTCAGTAGTCATTTCCAATGAATTGAGGAAGCTGGATAACGTTTCTAGATGGCTTATTCCACTTTGACCTAGTGGCACTTTGCCCATTTTCTTCGTTAACAGGCCAAAGAATTACACAAATGTTTACAAATTGGTCACAAGTGTTTATTGGGCGAAAGCACGCAAAAATGAAAGGCAGGTCGTCAGATTAGCTTCTTTGAGATTGGTTGGTTCTGAATCCGCATATTAAAAATTATGTAGATGTATCATAGTCCCAAGATTATCCAATCTTTCAAACCATGACAAATCAGAGAAGCACAAGAAAAGTACTCCAAGAAAAGTACATATCAAACGGTTCTTCCTGTCACAAAAACCATCAAAACAGTTGATGATAACGTTAAGGAAGCCGAGTTACAGCTTTCAGTAAGTATAGTCTGCCACGGTGCAATAAGAACCTTAGTGAGATAAGTGTGAAACATGGGTGTGGAAGTACTCTAGGCAAGATCAAATTGAACAGAACTAAATTCCTACTTCCGCTGAAAAATGTAATTTCACCTGTTTTGAAAATTGAACTTATTGAAGATTTAAAAGATAAAAGGTATGTAATTATTATAGATGAGTCAACTGATGTTTCAACTCAAAAATATTTGTTTCCTTTAGTAAGATTTTTTAGTAATTTAAAACAGCAAATCATCATTGGTTTTTCGGATTAATTCCTGTTCAAAAAGCAACAGGAGAAAATTTATTTAATTTAATTTCAGATGAAATTCATAAATATGGCCAATCTTTAACAAATTGCATTAGTTTTGTTTCGGGTGGTGCATCTAATATGGTAGGATGCAATAATTTTGTATGGTTAGTTCAGGAAAAGGTCATGTATAGTTTATTAATGAATAGGAAAAAACTTAAAAGCATATTCTATTTTTGCGGAAGAAGCAGAACAACAATTTGACACCAAATTTAAAGCAAGAATGATAAAAGAAATGACATTGGATCAGACTAATTATTGCAACTCCAATAGTTCAAGAATTTGAAAGTTTAAATGGCCTTTTTCAACAAATAAAACAAACCCTTATCAGTTTATTTTTGCACTACAGATCTTTAAAAAGTAGACTTTATGATGGTAATTACATGGTATAAGAAAAGTATTTCTAAAGTAGATTTTGGAATGAAATTTTTGAATGAATGTGATAAATACCTGCAAATAAATAATAACAATGAAAAAATCATGCAACAAGTTCTAAGTGTCAAAGAAAGGTGTATACAAATGTAAGAAGCTTTAAATCAACTTCAACAAAGGCTTCCATCGGCAAGAAATTTATTTCAAGATCTAGCGCAATTAAGCCCAAATATAATTTTAAACCAATCTTTATGACCAAAGTTTTCTGAATTACCATTTTTGAATTTAGCACAATACGATTGAAGAGCAATACAGAAAATTACGTTTTGTCAATTGGATGGACGAAGAACAATTTAAGGAATGTGGAATACCCAATGAAACTGAGCTTTTTGTCAAAAAATATTACAAAAACCCCAATTCAAAGAACTTGCGACTTATGCCTTCAATTGCCTAATAAAACCTATTAGCAATGTTACAGTAGAGAGGGAAATAAGGCAAGAAATAGAATGCAACTTTCTCTTCTAGATGCAATTATTTGGATTAGGTCACAACTTTTGTTCTCGTATATATGTTGCAAAGAATTTGTCCCTTCACATAAAATGTTAGAATGTTTTACTTCTGAAAAACTATATTCCCCTGATTCAATTTCTTCCCTTAATCATCAAGATGTGCTTGTTCGGGAAGAAGCATTAATATAATAAAATAGCATTAAGTACAGTAATACTCCGAACTTACGCGATAGGTGGGACAAAGCGTTAACCGCGTAAGTCGAATTCGCGTAAGTCGGGGTATAATTTCGCATATAACTTAAATACATACAAATAATTTTTTATTGGGGCCAGAGACTAAAGAAAACAATAATTTAGAAAAAAATGTTTAATAAAATCTTAGATAATACATATGTATAACAAATTAGGCCTATATTATATTACAATTTTTCACATTTACTTGCTTATTACGCCATAATTTTAACATTGTTTCCATCTCAGCGATAATACCGTGACGTTTACGAATGATGCTTGAATTTAAAGATTGAGCATTTTTCACAGCTTCGAGAATTTTTTCTTTGCCTTTTATAATTGTTCTGACCGACAATTCCGGTAGATCAAACTTCTTTGCCAATTCACAAATTTTCATTTTTGTATCGAAGTCTTTAATAATGGGTACGTTCGTAAAGTCAAACGAGTTAAACGCGTTAGTAACGAATCGTTCGAAAAGTCTAACGAAATAGGAATAACGATGACTTCATTCTCGCTTAACTCGTTCGACTTTACGAACATACCCAATGTTAACTTTACATTCCAAAGATAAAGTTTTTCTTTTCTTGTTTGATGCAGAAGAATTAGTTCTACTTCGTTTGGATGACATAGTAGAGTCTCTCGAGTCTCCGTAGATATAACAAACACAGAAATAAATAACACAAAATAAATTGTAGCTATGTGTGGATTCTGCGCGACACATCCGAACATGTAAGCCGAACAATAGTGTGGGGGGAGTGAGTAATCAAGGGTTGCGTGGCGCTAAAACAAAAGACGAATCGACGAGATTTGAAAATCGCGTAACTCCGGGTTCGCGTAAGTCGGGGTAGCGTAAGTCGGGGTATTACTGTATACTAAAAGTATAATGTATATAAAATATATAATAAATTTTGGCTTTTTTCTGGTTTTTTTAACCTTAGTTGGCAAACTTTAA